GAGCACCAGCATAGACGGAGGAGACCCGGAAGGGGTCCTGAAAGCACATTTCCTTTTCGGTGGGAAGCCATGATGCTTTCAGGACATCTAGCTTTGAACTTAGTTTTGCCTGTGGTGGTAGCACAACTGGGGTTTTTTGTGTGGCTTCTCCCGCCTGGTCTGGCGGGGCATCAAGAGTGCCATTCTGCAAGTGCCATTCTGTCCCCTGAAGTTGGGGAGTGGTCCTTGCCAAGAGGGGCTCTTCAGCTATGACATTTCTGCCCCCACCCCAGGGAGGTTTGGCTGGTGCTTCTTCCTTTTCAGAACTTCAGCTGAGCTTGGCTTCCACCCTTGTGCTTTAGAACGTGAACTATTTCAGCTTCATTTTGTGGTCTGAACAGTTTCTATTGTTGAGCTGCCTTAAGATTCTTCCTGCTTGAAGGTGAAAAGCTTTTTTATTATATAGGTCTTATTCTTTTCCCATCCTCCCATTGTTTAGACAGGGAGGATGATGGAGGCAGAGCAGTGGTGGTTTGCCTGAGAGTTGGTCATCGTAACCTCTTACTCGAAGGTGAGAAGAGAGACTTTTGCCCCTTGATCCTGAGTAAGAACTGTGAGTGAGAATCAGAAGTGCCTACTAAAAGGAACCACACTCCAAAGCTAGTCCTGGCAGGAGGCATGTAGTTCTCACTGCTATGGTGACAGTGGGGAGGTTCTACCAACCAGGCCTTTCTCCAGCTCTCAGAAGGTGATGTCCCTTAATGTAGTTCATCAGTAGGAGACAGCTGATACTAGCCACTGGTGCTTCTTTGACCTGATCACTAATTTAGAAACTAGGGATTGGTCCAGAAGTGACATTTAAAACTAAGAGGCACTCAAAATAGGATTGTCATTTTAGAAACTGACAGGAAAATCTGCTGCCAACATTTTCTTATCTGCCTGTTGTCTTCATCTGCAAAAAAACTGGAAATGGAAAGTTTCTGTAAGTGCTGTTGTCTGATTTGTTAACTTCTTGGCCTTGTCTTCCTGACATTGTACTCCAAGAAATAGTTGCGTGATAGAAGTTTTTACAGCAGAGTATCTGTCCTGGTCCCAGCCAACACACACAGCACACACAGATAAAGCTATAATCGTTTCACTGGGATGGGAAACGCAGGCAGCACAAATGGAATGTGTAGTCACTTGCATGCCCCAAATACAGGTCACAAGCTCCTCGAGCAGCTGACCTGAGAGAAAGTCCAAGCAAATGAGTCCGAAGCAGCAGGCAGAGTTGTCAGAAGGCAGCCCAGAGGGTCGAGATACAGACATAGGTTGCTCCGAAGTCAAAGGAGGATTCCAAGAGGCGCAGGTTTTCACAAGGTGAACAGTCAGAGTTCCAGATAGTGCAGCGATCGTTCCCAGTGAGGGACTGCTTGCTAATGGAGGCTGTAAGTAGAGCTCCCATCGGTTGCAAGCAGTCTTTCTTGCTTTGAGAGGAGCCATGCAAATCTCCTTTGTTCTGCCCTTTGCTCAGCCCTGTGTGTTTCAGGGCTGGGAGGAGGTCCTGTACCAGGCCCCTCATCCTCTGCTGCTTCCAGTTGCAACCAAATCAGCCCCAGGTGTCTCCATGCTGCTGTCTGAGGCATGCTGCTCTTCCACAGGGTCATCTGAAGCAGCCTCTTCCTCCTCCTCCTCAGATTCCTTGGAGCTGGAGCTGGCCCTGAGAGTATTCCCACCCAGGATGGTCATATGGCTGTTTGTATCCTATTTCTGAGCAGTTTCTCTTATAAAGGGAAAGAAAGTCCAGGTTTACCGTGAAGGTTTGTTCTCTTGCTTTCTCCTGCTGGAATCACCAAATCCTGATACAAGTGGGAGGAGGATCTGTTACTGGATGACTTCCATGGCTATGGAGAAAGAACTTTGACTGCGTCTCTTTTCTTCATTCTTGCACACAGGGATTGTGTTTGTGATTTAATATACTTGTGCTACTTACAGGTCTGGGTTTTCAGTTGTTTTAGCTCCAGTCCAGGCTTATCTTTTTTCATTTCTTTGCGTATTTCCCAAAACTTTTTTCTGACTGTCCAATTTTCCTTCTTAGGGTCTGATTTCAGCAGCACAGTATTACAAAAGCTGCCAGGAGCTCTTGGGTGAGAACTTCAAGAAGATCTTCAATGAGCTCTTGGTCCTCCTGCCAGACACAGCCAAGCAGCAGGAACTGCTTTCTGCTTACAATGACTTGAAGGTCAAAGCTCCAGCTGGCTCTTCCCCCTCCTCCTTGAGCCGATCCAAGAAGAACCGGAAGATGGTTTGGCAGACAGAGCCAGCTTCTGACCTTGACTGCTGCGTCTGCCCCACCTGCCAACAGGTGCTGACCCAGCAGGACCTTGTGTCTCACCAAGCCCTGCACCTGGAGGAGGACGAGTTCCCTTCCTTGCAGGCTATTAGCCGGATCATCAGCTAGCTGTTCCAGGTGACCAATAAAGTTAGTCTCCCTCTGAAAATTTGCTCTTCTCAGGAAGGTTCTCTACCGAGGGGAGAGTAGCCAGCTGTGTGCATGGGCCAAAGGGCCTTGGGAGCCTGAGGAAAAAAGGCATGGGTGGGTTAAACGGTGAAGGATGAAGGAAGCCGTAGCTGTTTAAATACCTGGGGGTATGTCCTTCTGCCCTTCAGAATAGGATGGAGCAGCAGGGTTACAGCCACTTAGTTCACTGCTGCAAGTAAGAATTTAACTACTCGCTGGCCACAGCATGGATGCTGGGCAGAAGGTGGCTGCTTTCTGAAAAGGGGGAGGTTGGGGCTTGGCTGCAGAGAAATGATGGAGAGTGGCTCACAGGGACTATACAAAAGGATGCCAGAAGATGGGAGAGAGTTGAGAATAGTTTGGGCAAAGAAATGCCGTGTGGTCTTTCTCTGTCTTTCTTTCTCCCATTCTTAGCCCCATTTTTTTGTGGAAAGGAGTTTGCTGTTTCCCCTAGCAGGGAAGGGTCCTCATGAAGAAGAGTTGCCCAAGAACTCAGGAGGGCTCTTAAGGTGTCCTCTTTTTCTCAAGTTTGTTTCTCAAAGGAACCTATGCTTTTTCATTCTGTTCTGTTAGAATTGCATGCAGGGAAAATATAACATTCAGTGCTTTCTTTACTTCTCACTATAAGTGTGCATTTCTATCCAGTGCTGTGAGTTCAGTTATTTCCATTGTCTTGAGTGGTTGTGGCTCATTACATGCTGCTCAGCAGTGACCACCTCCCATTGCTCCCTAATGCCTCAGTGCCATCCTGGCCTGGTCCTTGAACAGAAAAAGGAGCCACCGGCTGCTTGCCTGCATCTCTGCCACAATGATTTGGGATGCCCAGGGTTGTTGCCAGCTGATATCAGTGAGTTCTGCCCTGTTCCTTCCCAGATCAGCTCAAGCAGAGTGAGAGTTGAGTTTCTTCAACAGAAGGGCACCTTGATACTGTAAACTTGATCAGAGGCACCACTAGCTTTTTATAGTAACATTCAAGAGTAGACATTATAAATATGATTTATCATTTTCTGTACTTTTCTCCTCTCTCTGCCTCTCTCTCTCACACACACGCACACACACAGAGCCATAGATGAGTATTCAACGCCCAGCATAGGCCCCTTGAAAAAAGAAGTTTCATTTGTGTATGTGTATGTATGTGGCATATAATTGAATTGTGCCACTTCCCACTGCCTGTATTTAAAGTGGAAGAATCCAGAAACCATTGATGTCTTGCAAAGCATAACTGAGTAAAGCTCAATCTACGGATCTGCCACATTATTTTTGTGGGCTGGTGTTAATTGCTGAAGATTTGATACTGCAGTCCCTCAATTTTTAAGAGTAAAATGTGCTGTTAGTGTTGTTTTTTTAAGTCACTAATAGCAGAGCACATCACTGTATCAAATTGGCCATTCAGTGCCAAAACTGTGGGCTCTTTTGAGATGAACTGGAATACTTTATTCATTCATGTTTGCAAGGCCCGAAAGAAGACCCCGTAGCTAAGGTCTTAGACAAGGTTTATTATATTATTAGACAAGATTTGAGTTACTGCTTCTAGGTCTTAAAATCTCTGCTTCTCGGCCAACTTTTTTTCTGTTACTTCCGCGTTTTTCAGCGCAAGTACAATAGAATTTGGGGCTCTTTTCAACTACAGTGAATGCATGCATTCACAAGTACAGATCAGTTCAAGGAAGTCCTCTCACACTTAACCTCTTTCAGGATCTCCTTTGGGCACCAACTGCAAGAGCCACGAGCATTGGGCCTGCTCCTACTGGTGGGGATCCCCCTCTTCCTCACTTCATGAATGCCCTGCAATGAGACCTTATATGGGCTGCCAAAACCCAGCCGTCCTGGGGATTCTGTGGGGCTGCTAGATCCCTTCTGCCCCAAGCCTCCTGTTTCTTTGGGACTCTCCACTGAAAATAACGGAAGTGGCTCGCCTTACAGAGCTTTGCAGCTGAGCTTTCCAGTGGCATCAGTGGAAGAAAAAGAAGCAGCTGTTGTTTACAGTGTCTCCCCCAGTTTCTTTGACTGGTGCTCCTTGGTACATGAGAAGCAAGACAGTTTTGGCCCATTGGATCCCAGGCTGAGGAGGGCCAGCAGCTTCAGTTCAGTTGCCTGCGTGGCTGTAAAAAAAAGCAATCTTGGCAATGCTGTCATGGCTGCCTGAGAGGATGCTGTCAGTAAGCCTGCACCAGCTGTTTGGGTCACCCCGTGGCCTCCCTTCCCCAGGAACATTTTAACAAGTTTCAGGTGGTTACTTTTAAACTCTTTATTGGAAAATAAGTTGTAATTGCAACACCAACAATTAAATTAGCACAATCACAGACTAATCTTTTTCAAAATGTATAGATATATACATAAAAAAGAAATGTAAACATTAAAAAAATTCACATGGTCCACTTTTCTGTCACAGTGGATGTTGGATTACTTAAAGTGGCAATTTTTTCCCTGCTGTTGTGAACAGAAGCTTCTGCCCTCCTATTTAACCATGACAAAACAAGCCGAAGTCGAAATGGTATTGCAGCAAATTCCAGGCTTTTCTCTCTTGTAAGGGGAAAGCTCTCCTCCAACCGGGCCTCTACCAATTGTGCTGGATTGCCAGATCCATTATCCGTAGTTGGACAGGCCGCTGACTGGCCCTGGGGACAAGGAGAACCGGAACCTCAGGCAGGCAGGCAGGCAGGCAGGCAGGCATCTGTTTGGCATCTTTTGCATTGCATTAAAAGTGGACTTATCAGGTAAAACAAGGGCAGGTTTTCTTGCCTTTGCAAGAGATGAAAGGGGAGGCCTTGTGTAACTGGAATTAGTCTGAATAGAGAATTAACCTGTTTCTGCTTCTGCAACATTGAGAATGAAAACATTTTGCAAGCTTAAACATGATCATCCTTGAAATGCCAATTTGCAGTTTGCTGGGACATAGGCGGAATGAGCAGGTGTGCCGCAGATGCTGCTCAGGGTGATTTCCAGCAGTTGGAAAGCAAAGGGCTTGGATTCAGTTGTACTGGCCCTGGGGCTCCTTTCCCTGCCTGGAAACCCAAGAGGAAACACCCTCCTGGTGAGGCGGTAACAGTTTACATTGTCACACCTTTCCATAGACATGGCGTGCCCATCCCTGCAGCACTCTCTGGGGACCGCCGTGGGGGGAGATCGTGCCGAAAAGAGCAGCCTAAAGGAGGAAAGAGCAAGGAAAGGTCCCGGCCAAAGGTTGCAGGTGTTGAGCAACCACTGGAAGGCTGAAGCTTCTGGCCCACTCTTGGATTGCAGCATCTGGGACCTTTTAGTTTCTGCAGAAGGGAAGCGGCAAGAGAGGGCGTGTGTTGTTTTAGAGGGGTGTAAACTGACGCATGGGATTTTGTCCTCAAAATACTGGAGCGAAAAGGTAGGAAACAGATTCACAAAAGGAAGGAATATGTAGCAATGGCTACCGCATGGAATGACTCTGAAGGGGGAGTGAAGAAAATATCTGAGGGTGAGCTGCTCCTACCGGTGGCTACGTATCGCCTCCAGGGTCTGCGGTTGGGGGCCGGGCTGGGGGCTGGGCCACCGAGGCCGTTGGTCTTGCTTTGCTCCCCTATCACCCGAAACAACTGGAAACGGTTTCTTAGCCTTCTGACTCTCTTATGGGGTCGCCCTTAAGTGGAATTTGTGTGGCTTGGGTTGTTTCTGCAGCTCTGGAGGTGGACCCTGGCTCTCTGCTCCACTTGGCTTAGAAGAAAATGTGTAGGTCTTCTCTCACCTTTGGCAGATCTGCCAGGGCTGGTGGTGAGGGCTGGGCCATGCGAGTGGAGTGCCCTTCAAGGCATGCTTGATGATACCGGGCGGTGTACCACACGAAGCGTTCGGAAACCATTGCCTGGCTTCTGAAAAGCGAGACAGGTGCACTGGACAATTCTTACTTGGGGGATAAAAGGTTCTTGTTCTCTGTAATTCTTCCCTGGTTGGTTTGTAGCTCTCTAATTTTGGCACATCATTTGGGGAGGTATCAATACAGCCCCGCAAAAAAAAGGTTTAGGGTCCTGCCATCTCTGGTTGCGTGTGGGGGGGTGGGCCCGGTTGTCCAGGACAAGGCCCCAGGTGGGGAAGGTCTAACGTTCTGCCACAGCTAAGGAAAGAATTGCCACAGAAAGGAACGGTGCTGCTCTGCCCCAAGTGCACGTTTGCTACAAGTTTGTGCTGAAGAGATCTTGCTACATCTGATGCGCCATGCCGCTGAGCCAGAATCCGTCTGAGTTTTGCTGTAGCGGGACCTCTGGCTTTCGCAAAGTCCGCTGCCTCGGGCAGTGCAGCAAGTCCTCATCGTGCAGCAAGGAGACGTGGCCGCTCCGGCTCAGGCCCAGAGTTTGGTCCATCCCGCTTCCCGTGTCAGTCTGAGTTGTGAGTGCCGCGCAATGCGGCTTTGCACAACCCCCCGAGCCAGGTGCTGCCTGTCCCCTCAGGCTCGGGGAGGCTAAAAGGAAGGAAATACACGCGTAGGCAGCACGTGCATACATTCAGAACAGTAATCTCTAGCACACAAACAGCGACCAAGACAGTCCTACCACTCAGACAGAACAAAATCTCCCTTGTTTTTTCTTTTCCTCACAGTTGCCACAAGGATACTCTGAAATGGGTTTCTTTACAGCTAGAAAAAATACACTGTACTGAACAGACATTTATTTCACATGTACATTCGAGAGAAACATTTAAATATTTTATAGTTCTGTTTCTGTGTGTGCATGGTTTGTTTTCTTCCTAAAATACTTAAACACAAGCTTTGTGCACTGCTAACGTGCCAGTGTTCTCTCTAAGGAAAATGCTGTATTGCTACAATTCTACCCTGTTTTAAAATCATCTTCAACCTCGCATGGGTTTTGCACTGCCACAGCTGACTTTCGATCACTTTCCAAAATAAAATCTCAAGCATCTTAAGGCTGAAATAGGACCATGGCCATTTTAACAGTCTGTGTGAAAATTTAGTATATTGATTATTTACTATTTCTGTTTACATTCTGCCCTCCCTGCTCCAGGACATCTTAGGCGGCTAATATAGATTATCACACTTTCCAGTTTTTTGCACTTGGCAAGTTCCTTGTATACTCGGATCTCTACAATACTGGGACACCTGTCTCTGCAAGAGGATTTCCGAGACCATGTTCCCCTCTATTGCAGCTGGAATTATTTAAAATAATTTTTCTTATTAAAAACTGCATTCTCTTGGTTTTACATCAACTGAGTCACCTCAAAACTGAACACCTGTTCTGTTCCCTTCAGTATTACTGGTCCTTTGTGGAGGAATTATTAATATTTTTGTTTGCTTCTGAGGCTTAAGGATCTGTTTTACTGTCCCTATGAAACTTGTTTGCTTTGCCAAGGAGAGAGGGAATTTCCCCAGTGTTACGATGTTTATTATGCCAATGTGGATCTCTGTTTAAGGAGAAAACATAGGTAGCCTCAGCTTGAAACATGGGCAGTTTAAAGGGATGGCAGGAATAATGTTTTGGCCTCATTCATGTTGAAAAAGAGTATGCCAAATGTTCTTTAATCAATATCTGGGTGGCACCTAGCGCCTGGAGCTCAGGTCTCCACTTTTGTCCTTGCATATTCTCCCAACCTTTTTTCCTTCCCCATCTGATTTCTCAACAAGAAATGCTTGTTCTTCAAAGAAGGAGAGGAGATCGTAGGAGCCACCAAGTCCTCTTTGAGATGGCACCTAAGGTGGTCAAATGCTACATTTCCTGCTGTTGGGGGGCTATTACTGGTTTGCTTTCTGCCTGGAACGATGCTTTTGTTTAGCTTTTTTTAAGAGCACAATTTAAACATCAAAGTGTCCTGGAATAACAGAACCACACGTGTGCAGTATATATACACTCATTTAGTACCGGAAGTATAGAACGTATATACAGTACACCCAAATATACATCAGAGAGAATAACACAGCTATTCTTTTTGGTATTTTAATTTGGCACATCCCTTTTTAACTACTTTTCTAAGTTTGTAAAGAGGAAAGAAAGTTGAAAGGGAGGGAAAGAGAAGACAGAAGCTCCTAGTTCTGGGAGAATTATTTTTTGGTTTGCCCTGGAAGCACATGATGAAGCAGCAGCTGGCCAGGGGAGGTGGCACTCTATCTGGCTGGTCTCTCTGGCATTCGTGACACCTATAAACAAGGGGCAGGGTTTTGATCAAGCCATGGTGCTGCCCTCTTGTCTTCTCTGACACCCCTTACCCCTGCAGCGCCCCTGCTCTCTTGCTAGGTTTTATGTGTGCTTTCAGCCAAATGTCATGAGCAAATGCCACTGATTCAGCCAGGGAAATAGGAGTTACGACTGTTCTAGAGTTTCCTGCTTAGAGGGAACACTTGCCTTTTTTTCTTTTTAATATAAAAATATCCTTGGACAGATAAGACAAGAACCACTGTACAGAATTCACTGCACCATTAGCTAAGAGTAAGTTTAACCCAGCACATAACTCGCCACGTGTTTAAAAAAAAGAAAAATGAAAGGACTTCTGAATACACTTGTAACCAATCTGTTGACTATACTTGCACCTTGAAGGGATGTGAGCCCATTTTTCTGGGTCTGGTTTCGGTTTGCTCCGAAACTTCATGGGGGAGAGGGGTCACCTGCCCTTTCAGTAGGCTGGCACCTGGTAACCTTTGGGGCTGGTATTCAGGGTCTCGGAGAACGGAGGGCTCTGATAGGTTTCTGTGCTTTCGATGCCACCACTGGTGGGATGGTGTCCCGGATATCCTGCCATGGGATCGGGGCCAAACTGATCCGTGGCAAAGAGAGACATGTCAGTCCCCATTCGGTATCTTTGGAGGGCTTTTACAGTCAGGGCAACCTGTAACAGCAAAGAAAAGTTTCTGAGGACTTTTCATGCCAGTAGTGAAAGTGATAGATTGTCAACCCAACTAAGCAAGTTCTTACATTGATGGTTATAGTCTACTCAGAGGACAAGTTGATTTTAGCTCTTTAACAATAGATTTGTATGAACAGATTAGTATGAGATATGCTAAACTGCTTTTCTTTTAAGTGATTCATCAACAAAACTCTAGTACTCTATGCTTAATTAACAGAACAACTGTTTAGCTGGTTGTATGGGGTCACTAGATTATTTTTTCTTTTTGTTTAATACCCATAGTTATTTTGTTTTTCTCATTTTCCTCTGTCCTCTTATTCTTTCCCTTGACTTCTCAGAGCTCTACCTTCCTTAGAAAGAAGTATTACTACCCTTCTAACCCAAGAAAATAGCTTTTCATCACAGGGCATATCCAGGGCCCAGAGGCATTCTTGGAAGAAGATGCTGGATGTTGGTGGCTTACAACAGATTATCATCATAATCTTTAAAAGCATTTTTAAAGCACAAGAAGTTCCTTAGGGAGGCAAATGCCAAGGGAAATGTTATGGTGAATTAACTGGATTAACGCTGGGGTCCAAGGACCTATGGAAGACATTCTTTCTACCTTCAGATGGACCTGGACTGGATTTATGTTTTTGTACTTGCAAAACCCTTGATTTTTATGGTTGCAAATCTTGTTCTCCTCCTGTCACTGATGACTGGATAAAAGAATATTGCCAACCTGAGAGCAAGGGATACCACCTAAAGGAATAGCTTTGCACAAATGTATGAGATGTTTTTCTATGGTGCTCTAACCTGCAAAGTATTGCCCCAAACTGTGACTTGGTGATATGACTTTTTCTTTTTGACCTACAGAAATAGAACTCACCCATCTGCCCCCCCACTTAAGTCCCTTTTATTTTACTCTTTTTTCCCTATGTTGTGTGTGCTCTGGGCAAAACTAAGAGGTTTCTAATAGTTTAGCAAAGGCCCCAAAGTATTACAGCAGGGCATCATTTAAAGATTAAAAGCCTATTTTCATCTGGATACTTGTGCTTCCCAAATATTCATGCAATCTCTTATTTCAAAATGGTCAAAGCTTTTGTTCTGATTTTTGTTGATGAAGATTCTCAGTCATCCAGGTGGAATTATCTGGAGGTCCAGTTGCCATGACTCAACCTCCAGATTTGTTCTGATTTGTTTCTGCTATTTCCTATTGGGCATTTCTTGATAATACTTTTATTGAAAAGAAGGTTCTTATTTTGCCTGCCCTTAGCTAGACAGTTATATGATCCTAATTTCTAATATTGCTATGCAGGTGGCATTTTGGGAGGGCAGTCTACCCTCCCTTGCCTTCTAAGGAGGGTCAGTTCTTTGGTGCTTCTTTGCAAACGGTTCTCTCCCTTCTTCTTCACATGATGTAGAACTGCCCAGGAGTGGACAACTATAAACAGATTTATAGGTCAAAGTTTCACTTCTAACAGAGATTTTGGTATCTTTCATCTTTGACCAGAGATGTAACATCTGTATTAACTCTCTCTTGTTTGTGGCTGCATTTTGAGTTGAGTAGAAGAAAGCTAATTTGGGCCACTCTCAATTTCTCATTTTTGTGACTGTTGAGTTCCTTTTTGCCTCATTTTTTGAATATATCTGGACTGGAAACTACATCTGATGAGGAAAGACTACCAGAATTGATATGTTTAGCCTTGAGAGGACAATGTAACCATCTTCAGGCATCACCCAAAAGAAGATCAAGATCAGGATTTTTCTTACACCAGAATGCAAGATACAGAATACTGGATTTCAGTTACAAGAAAGTCATCTGAATGTTGAAAAAATTTCCTAACATTAAGAACAGTTCAAAAGGGGACTTAACAACCTTAACAAGGGAGGTGGTGACCTTCCTCCACTGGGGTGTTCTGAGCTATCTGAGATGCTTTAATTGGGACCCCTCAGCTCTATATGAGATGAGGTGTGCTGAGAGGGAGGGAGTGGTCCAAAGTCACCCAGCTGGTTTCCATACCAAAGGAAGGGCTAGAACTCACACTCATACTCTTCTAGTCCAGCACCTTAACTGGCTTACCACGTTGGCTCTCATTTATTTTTAAATGTTTGCTTTAAAATTTACATTTTAGTCCACATTTCCCCAAGCATTTTTCTCTGCAATTCTGCCTAATGTGCATAGGTTTAACAAAATAACTTTCTATATCATAATGCATTTCTGTACATTATTTTAATTATATGTGATTCTGTACAGACTTTCCCTAAAATACCCATTTTTTTTATAATCAGCAAAGTTAGGGAAATTAAGAAATTCAAAAAATACTTAAGCTTTGTTTCATTTACTGATTAAAGAAATACAAACTAGATATTTTTTTCCCATTTGTAGGGAGAAAAAGATTTGTTAACTCTTCCCCCTTGTACAGTTTTCCCACCGACCACCTAGAGCTGCTTTTAATCCCTTCCGTTGCATGTCATCTGGATGACACAGGAGTTGCTGAATTCAGCAGCAGCTTCTCAAGAGATACTGCCAGAAAGGGTCTAATGATTTAGTAGATCTTAACAGAGGTATTTTATTGTTTTTTTAAATAAAACATTATTAAGTAAACTCTAACTAGAGGATCTGATTAGTTGACTCCCTTTGGAGAAATTATTCTTACGATTATGTGGTAACTCAAATTTTCATCTATATCTGGAGGAACCTATCCCGAGTTCCACTAAGTCTTGCTCGCTGGATTTCAGATACCCCACGAAGTCACCGAGATAGCAGGCAGGCCTGTGCAATCAGAGCCCTCCCCCCCCCCCCCCCACTTTCCTATGTGTCCTGTAGCACAGGTATGCACACCATCTTGACTTTTACACATGCACACCCCCCCCCAATACACGTGCAGACGCCTTTCCTTCTTTTTTCCCCAGGGATCATGAAGAGCAGAAATATAACACATTTTTAAAAGTTAACATTTAAGGCACAGCTGTATGTTGATTCTGACAATCTCCTTGCTGGGAAAACATACAGAGCCACCCTGGAAATCTACTGGCTATTGTACGGGGTAGAGTGGGCAAGATCTGAATCAAAACGCCGTGTCAGTGGAAATAATCAGGGACAGGGGTCGACTACTCTTGGCCCAACGTGAGAGGCTGGCGGCCTGTTATCCCACACAGTCAAGAGCAAGTGTAAGTTTCAAACTCGATCTGCTCTATGTGCGGCTTGTCCTTACACTCTGCAGTTGCTGGATTTCTTTATTAACAATGTTCTCGTTTATTCGAGAGGCGTGCCCCCGAATCAGTGCTTGCAAGGCTACCAGCTCTGGGCAGGAGAAGCCCAGAACCTGTTTTTCTTACCCAGGAGATGATGGAGAAGAACGAAAAGGCGATGGCTGCCCGGGCAGCATCCCCGCCTTGCGATGCCCCCTTGCTGGCAGGTGTCCGCTGCCACTGGTTGGCCAGAAAGCAGAATGCCACGAACCACAGGAAGGACCAGAAGCCTGTCAAGCAGAAAGAACAGTCAGTGCCCTTGGTGTCTTGCACATAGGCCTATTCTGACCCCGAGCCAGGCCTGCCCTTCCCCGCTTTCCTTCTGTGCCTTGATGTGATGGAATGGAATTTATGAAGGCCAAACTCAGGGAGAAAAATGTTT